TCCAGGAGGATCCCTCTCACCTTCTCAAGCCTTTGCTTCTTTCCTGAGATATGCTTTTTTTATAGTTTATTGATTTTTATTGATTTCAAAGAGAAGGAAGAGTGAGAGTGAGATAGAAACATCAATGATGAGAGTGAATCATCAATCGGCTGCCTCCTGCATGCCCCCTACTGGGGATCAAGCCCGCAACCCCGGGCATGTGCACTGACTGGGAATTGAACAGTGACCTCCTGGTTCATAGGTCAACACTCAACCACTGAGCCCCACTAGCCTGGCCCTTATATATGCTTTATAAAAATATCCATCATCTCTACATTCACAAAGAACCACAGCTGAATCTTATCTTTTCTTCCAGTATTTTTTTCTTAAATATTTTGGGTTCACATTGTTTATAAGATTATACAATGTTATAATACATCACCTGTATATATCATTGTGTGCTCATCATTCAAATTTTAATCTCTATCATCATGTATGTGATTCCCTTTATCCTCTTCAATCTCCTCCAACTTTCCCTCTGGTAACCACTATACTATGTTAATGAGTATTTTTGTTCTTGGTTATTTGTTTTGCTCATCCATTTGTTGCTTTCTATTTTATATCCAACATATGAGGGAAATGATATGATTCTTGTTCTTTTCTGTCTGACTCAGCATGATACTCTCAAGATCCATCCATGTTGATGCAAATGGTAGTATTTCATCTTTTCCTATGGCTGAGCAGTATTCCATTATATGTATGTACCACATCTTCTGTATCTAGTCGTTCACTGAAGGACACTTGGGTTGATTTCCTGCCTTGGCTACTGTGAATAATACCGCAGTGAACAGAGGGGTACATATATCTTCATGAATAAATATTTTCAAAATTTTTGAAAATGGATACCCAGAAGAGGGATTGCTGGGTCATATGTTAGATCTATTCTTAAGTTTTTGAGGAACCTTTATCCATCCAGTATTTTAAATGCATAAAGAACGGAAATTTTTAAATTTTGTAATCACAAGCATTTAGTGATTATTTTAAATAAATTAACATCCTTAAGATGTATAAAATCACAAATCTTATTTTATAACAGAACATACTTTAATATCTATGAAAGAAAGTATGTATTACATGTGATTTTAAATTATATCTTCAAAATGGAACAAATACTTTGTTAAATATTGTTTGACTTTTCAGTGATACTATATCATGTTCCAGACTACTAAATTATTTAGTGCAAAATTTAGATGCAATTCCATGGACATGTTAATGATGAAATGTTCTTTTTGTTTCTAAGGTATTTTCTGCCAGTAGATGTATCAGAATATCAAAAAGAAATGAAAATAGGAAAAGATTAAAATGAATCCTTTAATCTCATGGACTATTCTAAAAAGAATATTGTAGACTTATGTCTGAAACAGCAAGCAGTGAAACTATGAGCTTAATTATTAATTACATGGGTAGAGTAGAGAGGAAATTTGTATGTAAATGCTTTTCTAAAACAATGGGTCAGAGATATGATTAAGGTGACACTTCTTACTGGGACAATTTATTTTTCTGAAGTTAGTAATATATTTATATGTTTCAAAATGAATGTAAGTGGTGGCTTTACTCACAAAGGTTATCTACTGGCAAAGAAAGCAAATTAAGCACAATAGCTTTGGCCAAATGCTATTTGAAGTGATTGGGAGAAGGGGAAGTTGTAGTCTCTCCTTTCTACTTACGGGTTTGAATATAAATTCCTTCCCCTACACTCCCAATTTATTTTTCATTTTGAAACAATCAATTCTGAATAACTTGATATCAGCATAGGCTCCAGAAAAAGGCAAACCCAGATAGGAATCACGTTCATGCCGTCACCAACACTGTACCTTGGCAGTAAAATGTAATTGTCTGCAAAACGACTATCGGTGCTTCATAATTGGTCTGAGTTAAGTGTGAGCAAATAAGTGAAGTGACCAGAGTGATAAGGCAAAATTGTTTTTGACGTATGTCATTACACTTAAAGTTGCAGACCTTATCGGCATTAAGTAAGGACTTACTCTATGTGGTCCTAAGAGGAAAGAGCCCAATGTTTAAATAGGAAATCATATCCATCTTAGTTACCTTTTAACAAATTCTTGAACACAGCAACTGTGACTCACCTATCAATAGCTAAAACTCTCAGATGTGTCTTGCGTTCCAATTTACACATACATCCATATATGTCATCTATATGGTTACTCCTCCCACTAACTCTGGGCATGGCTATCCTCTTTCCTCAGTGGGAAGCTGAAGTTCAAAGACATGAAGTAATTTACCATGGTCACACAGCTGATACACTGCTAGGACTCAACTCCAAGCCTCCAAGTCCAGTGCTCTTCTCGGTGCTCTAAGGATGCCTGTTTCATCCACAGGTTCAAGAAAAACCATCTGATTTAGGCTGTGATTTATTATCCCAGCAATTGACAATTAAGATTTATGCTGTATACAAAGGGAAAAAAGTTACTCTTTGAATAGATACAGCATGCAGATTTTTTAAATATATCAGCCACTCCTTTTTACAGCAAGCAGCATTTTAAGATATGATTAGTGTTCTGAGCATAGGGTGATGGTAGACATAATGTTTTTGCATTATCACGAGATGACAAAATTACCTACTCTCAAAGGACCAGCTGCTCCAGGGAGGCAGGCACCCATGGTGCCTACATTCTCAAAACTATTTTAATTGGTAATTTTTTGTGAATTATTTTTTCAGTCAGTCAGAGTGGAAATGTATGTGTAAACCTATTAAAGCCATAGCATCTGTTAGAATGAAACAACATCACTAAATCTTAGTGAAATGTTCCATTTCAGGATTCTGAGGCCACTTAGGGTTCTCACTGAGGTAAGAGTTCTAAAAACTCAGATCCTCAAATAGGTATAGAAAAGTTATGGACAAAAATGATAGGAAAATTCTTTCCATACTTTTTGCATAATACTCCTGTTACCATGTTATAATTTTTTTAAAGAATAGTGTATTGATTATTAGAGAAAAAGGGAGAGGGGGAGAGATAGAAAGAAACATAGATGCGAGAGCACAGCATCAATTGGCTGCCTCCTGCACACCCCCCACCATGGGTGGAGCCAACAACCCAGGCATGTGCCCTGTCTGGGAATCAAACCAGCAACCATGGTTTGCCCAACAAGTGAGCCACAGTAGCTGGAGCCCATGTTATAATTATGAATTGATGTACACAAGACACATATATCTGCTCATCACATTATATGTACAGCAGGTCCTTAAACAATGTTGTTCATTTAATGTCATTTCATTATAATAATGAGATGCTATGGGAACTTCACTTTTGTTTGTATCAATTAGTCTATGGTAAAATTGTGTGGGTTTTTTATGTCATTTCACTTGAAGTTAAAGAACTCATCAACAACATTGAAGACTCACTGTATGTGGTCTTAAGAGGAAAGAGACCAAATTCTGAAATAGGAAGACTTGAGATCATATCTAATCTCTATCCAAATTCCTGAAAGTTTTATAAAGAAAACATAACCAGTTGGAACTTCCATTTCTTCATATTGATAATAAATTTTATGGAAAAGTCAAGTTATTTTTTCCCATGAGAAAATGGCAAAAAAGAAAGTTTAATGTAGACTTTATCATAATTCTTAGCATTCAAAGTAAGTATCTAGGGTAAGAATTGTCTGAGATTCTTTTTTAATTTTGTGAAATCTGAACTTCAACACCGATAATATTATGAGATGAATTTGAAAAAGCAACAAACAAATAAATAAACAAAAGATAGAAGGTAATTTGCCAGAATACTAATAAAATAATAGGTTTATTTTATATGTGTGTGTGTATGTGTGTGTGTGTGTGTGTGTGTTTTCTTTCTACATAGTTTTATTTTTCAGATTTTCTAAAAAATCAAGAAAAAATAATTTATAAAGTCACATTTGTTATGTCTCTATGTTATCAGAGAATTGCATGGGTGGAACTTCTCTGATGCTAGTGGGAGTGGGATTCTTACAATATCTTGAGAAAAAGAATTATCTAAGACTCGCACGGGAGAATGAGTTATTTTTATTCACATGAAATTATATCCCTTGGTTTCCCAAGTCCCCTTTCCCTTAAACCAGTCCTGGAAAAGGTGCAGTTGGGGTTTCAATAGAGCTGGAAGCCAGCATCCAGGTTTCCGTTCCGTGGTGGAGCTGAATCTGGCAGACCATGAGGCTAATTGTAATCCATTGATCCATTGTGTGTGGGGTCCACATGGCTGTGGGCCACGTGAGCAAATGCAGGGGAGCACACCCTCTACAGTCAGAGATCCGGGACCAGAAGGGGGCCAGGTGGGCCAAGAGAGCAAACTTTCTTTGTTTTGGAGTTTAAATATCCAATCTTCCCACGTTTACAATAGCCAGGACTATTGTGGCCAATGGTTTGTTTCCAGATGTGATTGACATGCAAGCACCATCCCACTTCACCCAGACCATACTGGGCATGTGTCTAACGTGCAGTCTCTTCCCCCAGCGATCTGCAAGGAACAGACCCGGAGAGTGTTAAACTGCAGCCTTCTGGCAAAGTTGTACAAATGGCTTTCCTATATCATCTAACCTTCCCTGTGCTCCTTTCCTGTTATTAATTAATAACTGGGTTAATTTCAAAGGTATCCTATAGAGTCCATAGTAGTAAGTCTGTAACCCTCAGTCCAACCAATTAAAGCCAATTAAAATTATGAAGGAACTGGCAGAGACCTTAAAACATGTCCTTCTAATTACACCACGCCTGATGCAGAACTAGTCAGAGTGGACTGGAGTTTAGGATGGCACTTGACTAGCCAATGTGGGGAAGCTAGGGAAGCTCAGGAATTTAAGGTGTGTGTTTTTTTTAATTTTCTTTATTTGAAATATTCTTTCCAAATTTAAGCATTTTAAAATTGCTGACATTCTTTGCTCCCCCACTTCATAAGGTTAGAAGGTCATAACGATATTCTCTGAGAATTCTCCTAGACACTTCTGACCTTTGCATTTTTCCTTTCTTTCAGGGTCAATGATTGTATCTTGCGGGTGAACGAGGTGGATGTGTCAGAGGTTTCCCACAGTAAAGCGGTGGAGGCCCTCAAAGAGGCAGGGTCTATTGTTCGGCTGTATGTGCGTAGGAGGCGACCCATTCTGGAGACTGTTGTGGAAATCAAACTGTTCAAGGGACCTAAAGGTAATAAAACCATAAATGACTCACAGTAGGACCCCAGTGACAAACCATTTTGTTAAAGTTTATGCTATAACCCATCTATGATGTACTCTCTTCTTTTATCCTCCAATATTCAGTGTATAACAAGAGATCTGGAATCCTGCAATAGTGGTTATTATGAGTGGTTATCAAAACTCTAAATCTGAACTCAGACAAGGAAAGAATACATTTATGTAGGAATGTCCTTACAAATAATAATAACAATAAACATTTATATATTTTTCTATAAATTTTACATCCTAGTGGATCATCATGACTTGACTGGCATATTAATACTACCTAATTTTTCAGATATAAATGGTTAACCCTCTCATTTGGAAAAATAGTAGCAATGATAATAATAATAATTGAACCAGTCTATCCTGAAATAACAATTATATTTTTATAACACTTATGGATTTGTTTTGATTTTGTAATACTCAATCTGTAATCTGTTATACCCAAATACTAAATAACACTTTATATTTGCAATAGTCAAAATAAGTTAAAATATATTTTTTAAATGTTCAAAAAAATTACCTCTCTTGAGGTAATTGCAGTTACCCTGGGAAAAATCACATAAACAGTGAGATGAATAATTGTTTTAATTTTTAGGAATAGTCCTTGGAGCTCTGCTTCTCAGAATGATGACATTCAATATTGGTTTAAAAGTATTTTACATATTTTTTAAAAATCTAATAACTGGCTTAAGTGTTTTAAATATTTTAGAAGAGTATGAGTTGATAGTTACTATAATATTTTAGTAAATCACTTCTCTTTCCTTTAAAATCTATTTTATCTCTAATGCAATATGCTATTGAAAATAATAGCTATACAATCTTCTCTGGGAGGCTGAAGTGGATGGGATTTAAAATATCAGAAGAGCCAAACAGAACTAAATTTAAATGCCTAGTTCTTTCATGTACTAGCAGATTGACATTGATTGGACCAATCTCCTCATTATCAAATAGATACCATATTGGTAGAGCTATACCATGGGGTATATGAGAATTAAGTAGTTAACTAATATCTGATATGTGATGAGCACTAGAGCTTGCTGGTTAAAAGTGCAGACTCCAGAGCCAAAAACTAGTTATGAACCCAAGGCCTTGTTAAAATAAAAATTAAAAACCAAAGTAAGAGGGAATAAGTGTTCATTTTAGATCAAAAAGTATTGTACTTCTAGAAGCACTGATTCAGACAGAAACCCAAATAGCATTACAATTATGAGGTGAAGGCAGGGGGTATTTATGAGAAAGGAAAGGGAAATAATTACATAAATAGAAGGAAGGAATTTCTATCGGAGCTAATTATTTAGGGATAGAATTTCTATATGTACAAATAAGCTGGTTTATTTTCTAACTATTCAGGATGGTGCTAATTCTAAAGAATGTCCTTAATTTGCAGTCTTCTTAGTCAAAATATCTGCTTTGTTTATTAGCTTTACAAAGAGTTGTTTGGAATATAAGGCTGGGTTGGCCCAATCCCCAGGTTATTTTTCCCATTTCAAACATTCCAACAGTTTGAGGTGTTAAGACCAGCAAGGCAGTTCCTCTGGGATGGTGGCTTTGACTCCATTTTGAAATGTCTCCATTTACATCATTTTTTCACATTCTGCAGCTTACTAGTTCTTTGACCTCGGGCAAATTGCATAAAATTTCTGAGCTCTAATTTTCTCTCCTACAAAATGTGAATAGTAATAGTGTTTGCCCCTAGAGATGTTCTGAGGATTAGATGAGTCAATTCACATAGTGGCACAAAATGACTTCTCAATAAATATTAGCTACATTTACACATTATTTGTAGTATTCATTGCTACATATTTTTTTGGCCTTCATAACAATTATTTGGCAATGTGATGAAAATACTCAAAAATTCTTCATGGGCTAAATTAAAATGCATTAGAACCCCAGAATTAAATCTGAAAATGAAAACAAAATAAAAGAAGTCAAGCATTTCCATACCACAATGTCTGGTGGTATGCAATGAAAGGGCTTCCCATCCTACAAGTTTACTAAGTCATATTTGCAAGGAACTCTAAAGCAGAACAAAATGAACATTTCATTATTTCTATTAAAAAAGATATACTATCCTATCTAATAATAGACAAACATGGTAATTGACTGTACCTTTGCTATGCCTCCCTTTGGCTAATCAGCACGATATGCAAATTAACCCAACCAATATGGCGGCCGGCAGCCACACAGTTGAAGCGAGCAGAAGGCTCTGCCAGGGCCTGGCTCTGAGCTGCAAAAGCAACAAAGTTTCAATTATAGAAGCTAAACAAACCCCAGATACCTGCTTTCAGCCAGCCCTGGCCACGGAGATGGAGCGAGTAAGAGCCGGCTCTCAGCTCCAGTGACGGCAACAACGATTCAATTATGGAAGGTAAATAAATCCCAGAATAAAAAAAATGAAAGAGAAAAAAAGGAGAGGCTGGGAGCTTCAGTCACCGGCCAGCCTGAAAATGGCCCTCAGCCCCTCACCGAGACTGGCCAGGCACCCAAGTGGGGACCCCCACCCTGAAGGGGGTGTGACCAGCTGCAAACAGCCATCAGCCCCTCATCCAGGCTGTCCAGGAACCCAAGAGGGACCCCCACCCTGACCCGGCACACCATTCAGGGCAAACCAGCCAGCCCCCACCCGTGCACCAGGCCTCTATCCTATATAGTAAAAGGGTAATATGCAAACTGACCCTAACAGCAGAAAGACTGGGAATGACTGGTCACTATGACATACACTGACCACCAGGGGGCAGATGCTCAATGCAGGAGCTGCCCTCTGGTGGTCAGTGCACTCCCACATGGGGGAGCTCTGCTCAGCCACAACCCAGGCTGATGGCTGTCAGCACAGCAGTGGTGGCAGGAGCCTCTCCTGCCTCCTCAGCAGCGCTAAGGATGTCCGACTGCAGCTTAAGTCTGCTCCTCGCTGGCAAGTGGACATCCCCCGAGGGCTGCCGGGCTGCCAGAGGGATGTCTGATTGCCAGCTTAGGCCCAATCCCCCAGGGAGCAGGCCTACGCCAGCAGGTGGTCATCCCCCAGGGGTCCCAGACTGCAAGAGGGCACAGGCCGGGCTGAGGGACACCACCCCCCCCCCACGAGTGCACAAATTTTTGTGCACCCGGCCTCTAGTCTATAGAAATAAAAAGCTAATATGCTAAGTGTCCCTCCAACCGTTTGACCAGTTGCTATGATGCACACTGACTACCAGGGGGCAGACACTCAATGCAGGAGCTGCTGTGACACACACTGGCTATTTACAAAGAAACAGCACTGACAAAGCAACACTTGGCTTCCCCCAAGTAGGACACAGGCCCCACCACCAGCCCGAGGGACAGCCCACAAAATCACAGCCAAAGCTGCTGAGACCCCATGGCACAAAATGCAGCCCACAGCTCAGCCCAGCCCAGAAATGATTTCTGTGGGTGCCAGGTAATGACGTCACATAGCAACTCCCAGCTTTCTCTCCCTAGCGACTAGCCTCCTTGGATATTTTTCAGCCCAAGAACATGACTTGCTTTATAGCCAAATGCAATCATTTTAAACTTTAACCAAATATCTGTGAAGTGTTTTCCCATGCCTCATCTCATTTGATCCTCACAGAAGTCCTGGAGTAGGTATATAGGAGATTCAAAGAATCCTATTTTCTTTTCATTAGCCAGAAAACAGAAATTTAGAAAGATTAGAAAAGACACAACTAAAACGAAGTAAGAAATGGTGGACCTTGAAAATGACTTCAGGTTTTCTCACTGCACATAATATAGTCAAACACTGCTGCAGTTAAATATTTTACCCTTTTTCCTCCCTGCATGATCTACAATAATAATCTGCTTTTTGTTGATATTTACTGCTGTGTTGCTGACTATTACCTGAAAGAGAAGTTGAGGTGCTTCACTGGGCTGGAAAAAGTTTATCTACAGCAGAAAGCAGGTCTAATTAAGCAAGTTTATTCTGTATATATAAAAGACTAAGTTGGCTTGCATGTGCACGATACATATAAAGCTCTCGCTGGTGCCAATCACACGCATGTGTTTCGATCTGTCATTGTTGATCGTGAATTTGGTTGACATTTCTATTCTAGAGAAAGGGCAAATAACGATATTAAAATATTTCTTCTAATTAATTTCCTTTCAATGCGCACAAATCCATGCACTGGGCCACTAGTATATAAATAATGCGTAGCTATTTCTATAGTTCAATTACCAGCAATTATTCAGCAAGGCCCTAAGGCAAATACTAGTTTTAAGCTCCCAGCAAAGCATTAGCATTCATTAGCAGGCCTCTAGCTAGCTGAGTCACTTGCTGACCTCCAGCTGCTCAGCAAAGCTCTTAAAGGCTAGAGAATCCATAGACAGAACTCTTTAATTTTATAAGGAATACTTTTTTTTTAATCTTTATCTTTGATACCAGAGCCCCCTCTGGCTGGTTTACTTGGCTCTGAACTGTTTTTCTCCTTTGATCCTGGAGTGGAGTAGGAATTTCCCTGGGATATGGAAGCACAGATGAACTTGAATCAACCAGAAATACCCAGGCAATAACCCAATGGCAGTACCCAGCATAGGGGCCATGGGGTTATACCTGGGCTTGGTTTACTGAGACAAGGAGAACAAGAACACTGTGCAAACTAAATGTATATTCCTGAAAGCAGACTCCTGCCAAACCCCTGCAGAGTGGCGTAGTTCTGTTGGTCCTATTGGGATTGTGCTGGGCCAGTTATGCTTTTTTGTACTGTCACCATACAAAGGTCACAGATGGGGATATGTTTCTCTATATAAAGCTTATTGTTGTATTGGAAAAGTAACTGTTTTGGTCCTAGTTTAAATTCCTAATACTTATTACAGTGTCTTAAATGCAGGAAGTGCTGAATCAGAGTAAATTGAATAATTAAATTGGATGCTATCCTAAATCTGGTGATCCTTACAATCTTATCTTCACTTAGCACCTTTAATTCTTCATTTTTGAATAACGATATATTTAAAAGGAAT